GTTTTACTCTTGTCTCTTCATGGTACCCCCAAAAAAAAAGACCAGGGACTAGCATCTGATTATCAACCTTTCTTCCCTCAGTTGCTTTATGGTCATCCCTCACTTTCATATGGAAAATTTCCTTCTGTTAGTACGTTTTTACTCTGACTGTGGATGACCAAGGTTGATGTCTTAGACACTTTCCTTCGTATTCACATTGTAGAGTCTTCAATTCATTTATTGTGATCATATCTTCCATTCAGCATTGTGCCAGCCCTCCCAAGTCTTCAACCACATGGTCAGGGCTTTCTCTCACCATCTACATGGACTGAGTCTGCAATTACATTTTACATGGATGATTGGTTTTTCCTGTTTTCCTCACAAGAAGTCTTCCCGTCATGGCTCTCTTTTGCAAGAAGCTGCCCATTTAAGATGGTCAAAACTTCCAAATCCTTTCTAATCACCACTTAATATCTTGTTCACCTGGGAGTTTTATTCAACACCTTTCTCAGCCAGGCCCAACCTTCTCCTATCCACCTGCAAGCTCTGGAACTTTCTATCACCAGGATGTGAGTCTATCTTCTATTCATACTGTATGAGAGGTTCTATCACTTTTGGGGACCTTGGCTTCACTGGAACTGCTTATCCCTTTGGGCCATGCTCATATCACCTTCTACATTGGTTCTTACATGACCAATGGAACCACTCACTGGAATCTTTGGATTCAGTGGTTCTCCTATCCACTCTCCTATTCGAAGATCTCTCTTAATGGCTGGACCAATCTATTACTACTATTGGTGTTCCTTTACTTCCACAAAACCTGACATATAACTTTTCACCAATGCTTTTTCTCAGGATGGGAAGCATCTCTAAATGACATTGTTACATTGGGCACTTGGAACTAGGACGAATCCTCTCTCCACATCAATGAGCTCGAACTTTTGGCAGTACATCTGGTATATTCCCATTTCCTATTACTCCTAGGGGTTCATTTAGTTATAATTCACTCTGACAACTCTGTGGTTGTTTTCTACATCAACTGTCAATCCAGACCTCTTTGTTTACAAATCCTCTACCTTCTTTATTGGGCCAATTCTTAACAGGTTCACCTCATTGCCTTCCATGTGCCAGGTGCTATGAACTTAATTGTGAACCAGCTTTCTCAGCTGCCCAAAGAATGGTATTTTCATCCTCAGGTTTTCTTATGGGGTGCTCTCTACTGGTGACTCCACTCACTGATGTCTGTGCCACACCTCTCAAATCCCAGATTCCCCTCTTCTGGGCTCCTGTTCCTCATAATTCAGCCCCGGCTATCAGTGCTTTCACCCATACCCTTCTCTCTTGCTTCAACTTTGTACATCACTATCTCATCAAGGGAACCTGTTCATCCACCTTCAAGTTTGAGATTTTTCCAGTCCATCACCCATAGAGCCAGACTTTCCAATAGCTAACCTCTTCCTTTCTTATTTTTGTCACCCTTCTACCTTGTCCATCTACCAGCATAGGTGGTGTGTTTTTTACATTGGTCCAGCCATCGTCATCTTCCTCCTGATCATCCTACCATAGGCCATCTTTCTTCCTTTTTTACCTGGCTGTTCTACAGAGGTTTAGCTGTTTTCTCCACTGCCTGTTATTGGTTTCCCTCATCTACAACCTTTCACAATACCACAAGGTTTTTTCCTCCCCAGTCCTCCTTACCTTGTTCCAGTCCTTTCTTATTCATAGACCTCCCTACCCTGTTCCCATACCTGATTGGGACCTCAATGCTATCCTGCACACTCTTACTAGAGCTCCATTTGAGCCATTGGTAACCTGCACCTTGTACCACCTTTCCCTTAAGACCTATATTTTTTCACTCATCACCTGTGATCACTGTCATTCAGATCTCTATGCTCTTAGGCTCTTTCCGTGTCCTTTTCCATTGTTATTATATTCTACTTTATCCTGACTAGTCCTTCCTCCCTAAGACTGCTGCAGGTTGATCCTATCTCCTTTCCTTCTATTTCACACCTTTATGATTGTGTGCTGTTCATTGCTGCTTAGCCCATACCTTTAATTTTTGTGGCTCTCATTTTCACCTATTTGTTCCCTGGGATTCTTCTTCTTCCAGTGACTTATCTTTGTCTACTCTACCCCTATAGGCTGAGTTTGTCAATTTCTCTGTTTGGTCTACTCCTCATTGTGGGTAGATATCTGCAGACTGGTCCACATTTCTTCCCATCAGATTCACCACCTCACTCATTCTCTTGCCACTTGTCTCCAACAGCCACTAGAAGATATCTTCTTGGCTGGTATGTTGACTACATCTCGCATCTTCATCACCCACTATATTTTCTATCTGGTTGTCTCATCTCCTGAAGGTTACTGCTTACCTCCATTCCCTATTCTCCAGTCTACCCACCATCTTTAGAGAGGTGAGTACATTTTCCTTCTTATTATAGTATTTGTCTACAGGATCCTGCCAGGTGGTTGGTGGTGCCTCCCAGGGTACACTTATTTCCCAAAATTCTGCATCAAACCAGGATAATGGAAAGCACTCGTACTATCTGCTCTGGCTTCATATAAGCCCACTGTTAAGATGAGGTGTTCTGCAAAACCACTTGAGGTATCCTCATGGTATATTCTGATATGACTACTGTCTGATCCAAACCATACCTATTCCATGGACTGTCATGGAAAACATCAGCACCAGGGGGTGCTCTGCCTGCTTCCATGGCTTGTCCTTAATGGCTTTTCAAAATAGGGTTATGCAGTCACTCATTGCACTGTCTCCAGTAAAAGACCTTTCTGGCTGAGACAGGACCTATGAGAATCCAGGCATTTTCTCTGAGTCTCCCTACCACAAATTCATCCCCTTTTTTCTTCAAGTGGAGATAAGGAGACTTTCAGCACTTACCAGTTCTTAGCCACTGGTGTGGTGGACCATAGAGAACCCTCACTGATTAGGATCTAACCACTGGGGCTAGAATAAAGGGTGCCAATCAGTGGGAAGTGGCGTGATGATGACACTTGTCAATGTAGCAGAGCTCACCCCTTCATATTATTTTACCTACAGCATGCCAGAAGCACATGATATGATATTGTGCCCTCTTCCTGTAGTCTGTATCTGTTCAGTAAAGTTGAGGTGAGCACACTATACACATGTGCCCTCCTGCAGTCATCTCCTATTCAGTTGAGTGGAGGTGAGCACATACTAACAAATCATGTCCTTTTCCTGCAGTAGTCGCTTATACAGTCAACTTAACATGTGCACTCTTAATATTACATACTTCATGACATAAATTCTTTGCCCTCCTTCTGCAGCTGGTGTCAGTCCAAGTGTCTGATAGTAGAGTTGAGTTTTTTGTTTTTTTTATTCCTGTAAACTCCCAGTGGAGCATAGGGCCGCAACAACACCTCACCAACGGAAGGTGTTGTTGCAGTTACTTGTAGCAGGTTGGTTTTTACGAGGTGGAGTTGCTAGCCCCGCTCCCAACCCTCCTCCTTTCTCATCCTGGACTTGGGACCAGGCAGAGGTTGGCATGTTTGGTGTGACGAGGATTCGAACCCGCAACCCTCAGATTAGGAGTCGAGCCCCCTAACCACCTGGCCATGCCGGGGCCAGAGTTGAGGTTAGCATGCACTAATTATTTCAGTGCACTTCTCCCACAGCTAGTGTCAGTCAAATAATATCTGATGGTAGAGTTGCAATGTGCACTAGGTACAGTCTGAACTTGTCACAGCCATGCTACATGTATTGGCTCTCTGACCTCTTGTGTGAAAGTACTTAGATGGCCATGCTCTTATTCTGCACATACTCATGGGGGCTTGTTTACCACTTCCTCCTATCTATTCTGGGTAAAGAATGTACCTTGAAAGAAATGAGATGTGGTCTCCCACAGGTGTGCCCCTATGGGTTTCCTTTGGGTGCATTTTGAAGGGAGCTCGTTTAGGTAAATTTTGCACTGGTCCGGTCCCTCCACCATATCGGTGTGGATTATAGCTTTCTTGTGCAGAAGTGTGTTAACTTCTGAGACAAGACATTTGTGTTACCTTGCAAGGTATTTCCGATAGATACTTCTGCACAAAAAAAAGTTATGTTCCCCGTGCCTCCGTCTTGGAGATTTGCATGCCAGCAGCCTTTAGGCAACTCCCACCTAAACTCACGAGATTTCTTGTGAATTGTGCTACTGCATAATGACATCATTATGCAGTAATAGCCCTCCACCAATAGGAGGGCAACACAACCTCCCTTTGCACTGACTCCCTCTATGCTTTTGCACTCATGATCTTCATTCTTTTATGAGGCAAGGAATAGTAAGTTGCATTGGAAGTAGAGGGTAAGTGTGTGTAATGAGGTGAGTATCTATCCGAAGTACATATTCAGGTAAAGAATATGTTAACTTTTAACCTATGATAATTTTAAGAGTTACTGAGACTGTGCACTGAAAAAAATGGGATCTATCATCTATACTATGTTTTTTTTAGAGTAAGATTTTATATTAACAAATAATTAATTATTTAGTCTATGAATAATTTTGGAGTTGCAAGGATTTTATATTGAAACAACATGAATTATTAATTGAATAGAGTTTAACACAGATACAACAGAGACAGATAAACAGAAATCATCCCAGATATTCTGTAGTTCACATTTCTGTTATCTGTTTGAATGACAGGATACTGCTATGAACATAATTTTTTCCAAAGTAAAACTGAAATAATATAACAAATTACATTATTCACAGAGGCATTATAAAGACAACAGTGCGAATGAAAGATTTAGTAGTTTTTTAAAATCATATAGGCCTGCATTTTTGTCAAACAAGCTGTTATTCAATACATTTCTTTTGTTAAATGAATTGGAAAAGACAATAAGTATGTGATTTATTCATGTTGTTATTTTTTAATTGTATTGTTTTTAAAAACTGTAGCAGAAGCTCAACCACAAAGATATTTGAATATATATTTTTTAATATATAATATTATACTGTTATTCTACATTATATGGTATTAAATTCATAAAGTACTTACTTTGACAGGAAATTTCATGTAATGTATCTGAGGGAGAGCTAGAGAAGCAAGAGTTTTCATTCACACTGTACAACTTGGATGGACACAAGAATGTCACTAAGGATGTAAGAGTTTTAAACAGCATTTTTCAAAATCTTAAGTCTTTCTTTAAGTTCCATAGAAAAAATCACTAACAAAGATATCATATATTAATTTATGTTTTGTGCTTGTGTATTTGTTTCCTTGTCTGTGAACTACTCCAACAGTATTGGAACTAACAGAACCAATCTTGGCAGGCAGACTCAGGGTGGCCCAGTGGGTGTCCTTATTTACATTGTGAGTTCCCTTACCAAGGGGAGTTAAAACATGTTTGGAAATTCACCTTGGTAAGATGGGGTTCTAGGAGTAGGTTTTCAGAGATGTTGGACTTGAATTTGGCTTCTTATTCTGTATTCTTGATCCCCTCTGAATCCAAAGATGCTATGTTTAAAACTGTATATGTGTACCCCCACTCACAAGCTAATGGGACCAAACATGGCACACTTGCTTGAGTATGGGAGGGTGTTCTAATGAAGTTTGTTTTGGGGTATGGACCCTTCTCTTTGGGTAACTATAGAAGTAAATGGGGCTAATGGATGAACTTTAGTGGTACATTGGGGCCTTGTGATTCATAAGGAAGGCCTTTGAACCCTGAACCGAAGTAAGTGTAATTTATGATTTTTTGATTAAAATTTCAAATAATAAATACTATCTGTTAAGCCCAGTTTTACTACTCATTGTCAATTTCATTATTGGGAAGAAAAAACTTTACGGCAAAAGTTCATTGGTTTTGTTGAATAGTAATTACAAGTACTAATTGCTCATATAAGAGTTTTTAAATATTTTTATGTACAATTAATGTTTGTTGTTAAGCACAAAGCTGCACAATAGGTTATCGTGTTGTGCTCACCTTGAGTATCAAAACCCAATTTTAGTATTATAAATGTTCGAACTTACTGCTGTACTGGGGGGGGGGGGTACAATTAGTAAAAGAAAAAAAAATAGCTAATAATGTGAGCTTTTAATACACAAGAAGAACAAATGTGCTTAAAATCAGATAAATCATACACTTTCTGAGATGTGGCATAGTTTTCTCAAACATATTCCAAGAAAACAGAAATAGTAACTTACTACATAATGTATTTTCTTATTAATCACATTTCATTATTCTTGATAGAACATCCTGACAAAGTGGCTGCTTAGAACCAGCTTTTACTCATGGAAAAATGTTATTTGAGTGTATCCTGTACATGTATGGCTATCATTTGTAATTTCATTGTTTTCTTAAACATGCAAAAGTTCTTAGTTGTTACTTCTACCATCACAAGTTATCTGTAAACTATTTCATGTGGAGATATAAAATTATCTGGAGTATTTTTATGTTGTTTTAGATGAGAGCATTTCACTAGATAGGTTACATCAGAACCCTTTCTTGGCAGGTTTTCCTTGTATTATAAGTGGAGATTTAACATGAAAGATGCATCAAAATCCTTTTTTTATAAGTTATTAGATAAGTTTCAGTAGTACAAAATAAAGTGAAGTGAGCTATGGGCTGTCAGTAATTTTTATCTGCGTAGACATCATAATAATTATTTTTCTGTTATCTCTAGGATATTGCAGGACTTGTTCGATCTATTCATGACACCCTTGGAAAGTCATTCAAGCTCCCTCCTTCTGGAAATCAGACTATCAAGGTCAGGCTAGCAATCTCACCAGACTCTGAGATAACAGAAGAAAAAGACAATACATTTCATCAGTCTAAAACCACAATAAAGAAAGAGCCAGATAATATAAAATTTACAGGAAATGTATCCAAACAATGCAGTAACCACAGTGTTAATACATGTACCACTTATCTGTCATCCTCCTCAGGAGAGAGGGAAAATCTAAGGGCCAAGTGCCATGATGTTTCATTTGGAGTCAACAGCTTGCCATCACAACCATCAGAAACAAAACCAAATGTGTGTTCTCCGGCTACTCCCAGGACCCAGCAAGGTGTTCGATCTAGCTCATTACAGAGACAAGACATGATGGAGATGATAAAGGAGAGTGTAGAAAAGATTTGTTTGGATTGTTCTGAGAAAAGCAAGTGGGTATTGTTTATATATTTTAATAGTTTAAGTATTTCTGTAAACTGACACTTCACATCATTTTTGTTATTGGTGAAAATTGTGTTTTGTTTTGAATAAACCATCAGTCATGCACTAACTGATATTACAATGGCAAGTTTGTTCAATAATGCATTCTATGCTTTCTGTTATTAATACTTTGATAAAACTAATGTTACAAATCTTTCCTGTGTTAATTGTACAGTTTATTAAAAATATTCTATTTTTTAATCAGGAAACAATATTGTGAAAACAAGAAAAACAGTGGGGAGGATCCTAGACAAAAACGTCGTCATAGACATCATCGTAGCTGTAGAAATTATGTGCTTGAATGTTGTGATCGATGTAATCATTATTTGGACTTAGCTGGAATTGGGAAACTACGAGACGACAATCACTATCCATTTTCACACAGACTTTATGACAAAAATCATCTCAGCCCAAGATCACAACCTAACCAGGAGGTTACAGAAAATCACTGCAATAAAAAGTTCAACCACTGTAGTCATCAAAGATCAAAGTCTCATGATGCCAACACTGCAACTCGGCTGTCTCACAGCCACATGTTTTCTGATCATAAAGATGATCTCATGAACTTAAATTTTGACCTTTGTGACTTGCTTCCTAAGGAAAAATTTGACTGGGAGCGAAAGCTTCACCACAGGCGATCTAAATCATTTGATGTATATGACCATTTACACTCAAACACATGTTATTCTCCTAAAGTCAAACCACGGGCAAAAGGTGGATTAACTACTGCAGAGACATCTCCAAACCATCACCACAGGCACAGACACCGGGAACGAGACCGAATGCGAATTATGCAACAAATGAATAACTGGTCAGAAAGAACAAACCTTGGAGTATCTAAGGAAAATACAAACAGTAATCCTCACTCTTCACATGTGGTAATTCAAAGGCACGAACACCACCACTTTCATGAACATGTTCACCATCATTATCATCATTACTTACCTTCCTAGCCTGTACTGTGCCAATTAGGAAAGGGACCATTTTTAAATTTCCAAACATCCTCTGTATAGTGTCTATTATTAAAGTTATATATTGCTTTTAAGCAGCTATATTCTCTTAATGATTTTCAGACAAGTTGTAATTAGTTCTGTCAGCAACTTTCCTTGGTAAAAAACAACAAAAAAGAACTTGGAATGAATAAATGAATTTTTCCAAACTTGACTTCAAAATTTGATCTCCCTAGGATAAACAGTGTTGCTTAATACTGATAAGACTGAAAAATAACAGCCTGACCTGAAACATGTTACTTTGAAAATCTGTTGAAATATATTATTTTTTCCCTCAAAAACAGTGCCAGCCTTCATGCAATGTGTAAATGGTATCATGCTTTGGGGACTCATTATTGTATGATTTAGTACAATATGCAAGTCCAGTTCAATGTTCATTATTGCTGATGTTAAAGTCTCGCATATGATCTGAATTGTCTTCTTGTTGGCAATCCATGACATTCAGCCATAGATAATAACCATTTTTTAAATAATGTCTCTGTGGCAATAAAAGTAAAGTCTTCAGTGGGTTTTGGTTCCCTTATAGCAACACTTAGATATATTTAGTAACTATACATTTGATGCTTGAGATTTACATTGAAAAGCTAGAAAACTACAGATTAAATTAATAACAAAGTGTCCTGCTATACATCTTATTCTTTTTTTTGTCAAATCATTTCAAGTAAATTATTTCTTCTTACAAGAGATTGCAGTTCATTGCTAATCAAACAGCCACTGAAGTTTATTTAAAGTTGTGTTATGGTGAAAATATTCACTGATGGCCACTGACCAGGTAGTGATTGAAATGGCACAATCTGTATGAATATTAAGTTTGATGAATGTGTTCCAGCAAATACAGGTCTTTGAAAGGTAAAAAAAAACAATGTGAAGAAGAAAATTATTTATCTGTGTTACATCTTTTTCTTTATCGAAATTCCTTCAGTAAAATACAAAAATGTATAGAACTAAATAAGCCTTTTTTTTTTTTTCGGGTTGCCAAATTTTCTGTTAACTTCTGTTAGATTGTTACTTTGAGATTACTTACCATTAGGGGCATTTAAATGATACCAGTATATCGAAAATAATTATACCAAACTATTTCACCACTAATTATTCATATTTTACTTTTAACAGGTTTATTTTTCACTTAATTCAAAGTTGTTGACATAACTTGTTCTCAGAATGGTTTTAAACTATGACAAGGAAAATCGCCTATTATTGGATATGCTTTATATAAAGAAAAAAGTATAATTTATTAGAGAACAAAAATTAAAAGTCCTCTGGTGGATCAATAGTAAGTTTTTAGGTTTGCAATGCTAAAATCTAGGGTTCATTTTCCCTTGGTAGACAAGGCACAGATAGTGCAAAGCTACACAATGGGCTGAAAAAAAAAACAGTAACTGAAAATTTGAAACATCTATTTTTCCTTTCAATTTAACATTATTACATATCTTTATCTTTATAGATTTGTAGACAGTTATATTAATGTTAATATAAAAACACAAAGCAGTTTAAAGTGAGATATTGTAAAACTTAATATTTATACCTAACTACTTCAGTACCTTACAAAATTCTTCATTATTAGTGTAATTTTTGAAAATATTATCGACTAGTTATCAAGGATAGTATGATTAAAATGACTTTTTTTATAATTCAACATTTCTATGATAAAATCACTTTTTAATTTAAAGTGTAAATATCCTATTTATCAGATTCAAGTATGTATAATTAATAAGTTGTTTTTATAAACTTTTACTGAAAAATCATGATAAAAGTGAAGTTGCCTACTCATAGTAAAAATAAATATTGTTCTTAAAGTTTACTACAAATAATTGTTGATGAAAGTTAACTGCAGTAGTAGTAGTACCAGAGTTCCATTAAATATTCAAGTACATAATTTTAAGTAATAGTGGTAACAAAGATTACGTAAATTCATATTCATTTAATCAAACAATAATCCTAAATTCTTTAACAATGAAAAATATTCTTGATTACTCAACTTTTTTTTTTAAATAAAAGTTTGTAAAATTATTTTTGTATGATTGTATTGGAATACTAAAAGCACAAATTGTGCACATAATATATATGCAAGATGAAGAAAGTTAAGTTTTACTCAAAAATTTCTTGTATTTGAGTATTCAGGATTGAATATGAAGTAAAAGGTTAATATAGTTCAACTTTATATATATAATACTCTGCTGATTTTTATAAATAGAATTTGGGTTTAATTTACACCAGGGTGAGTAATGCATTTCACCAAGTACAAAAGTTGCTTTTCTCAAGAAAATATTGATAAAAAATAGATGCCCAATGCTTTGAATTTGTACTAATATCTAATATTTATTGCCTTATTGAAATGTACAGTATATATATATATATATATATATGCTCTCCAGATAGTTGCTATTGTTTGTGGTATAAACTGTTGTGCAAATTTCCTATTCAGAAAATAAATACATTAATACTTCTGTATTACCTTTGTCCTAATGCCTTCTTTTTTCTTATACACAAAAATATTATTAAGTTTATGTAAAATTAATTGATTGGTAGTTTTTGTAACACTACAGTGGATTTTTCTTTTCTCTACAATAAGTGACAAGATTTTTTCTTGATTTACCCATAACTAAAATCTAATTTTATTGATAAGTGCTTGGCCTTGTAAAAGAAAAATCCCATTGTGTATTTTTAGAAATTCTACTGAAGAACCAATTTTTTTATTTTGCATGATTGAAAATATTACCCTTAAACAACTCAAATATAATGGAATATCTTAATAATTCACCACTTAATATTAGGAAAAAAGTTGGTCTCTTACATTTGTTAAATGATGGAACTTTCTAGAAAGTAACTAATCACTTTGGCATTATTGTAATTTTGGTTTCTGCTTATACAGAGGGTGGAGTATGTTATTTTGAATATGCAATTCAGCAAGTTGTAACAACCACAGTTAATATGAAGTCCAGGTGGAAAGTCATGTAGTAGAAATACATTTTGACATTTGTGACACAAAATATTTTTGTTAATATGCTTGGATCGCAAAGATGTGTTCAGATCAGGGATTTGGAATATTCAAAATGAGGATAACCCTTGTACTTAAATGTAATGAAAAACATGGAGCAGCTTGGGGCACCAGGACCATATAGAAAGGAACCTGTAATAGTTCATACCTCAGCCAAGGTAAGTAAAGTGTGACGAATGACAATCCAAAATACACAAAAAGGACCCAGGCAACAGTATGCAACATAATCAAAAATAATTTTTGCCTGGAAAATAGACAAACTGCTTCCATTACACATCCATTCAACTGCCATATACCTCAAACAGCTGGATAATGAAACAGGTGTTCTTGCTATCCTATATGAAGACATACTAGTCAAGCTGTCGGAAGCAATATCAATGGATTTCTGTGTGAACAAAGTGTTGAAATGTTTGCTGAGAAACTGTTGTCCTTGTACATTATATGGGTTATGGTAATGGTGTGCTTTGGACGTGACAGTCCTACGATGGAGCCTTTGGTAATGGAAACTACACTGCATGATTATTGTCAAAATGCACGATCATCAAATAGAGTATGACCAGATGTAGTGAGGCTTCAAAATCATACTCAACCCTGCATTTTGTAAAAATGTTAGATGTATGTGTTCCATAAATGTATTTATTTCACAACAATCGCGAAAATATCACTATCCACAGAGGACCAAACAAAAGACTTACAAAATGGTTAGATAAGATATATTTACTATTTGTTTGCAGTTTAATAAAAAACAAACTATGTTACAGATTTATGTGATGCAATTTTAACACTTAACCAGACTACCCGTGACCCGTTGGGTCACCCACTATTCAGAGGTTATGAAGAATTCAAGCTATTACAATATTGCACCGAAATGAAGGATTATTGGAGATAAATTAATTAACAATTTCAACCTATTCGTGTTATTCATAGTTCAAGAAAATATTCTTAATTTTGATCGGGAGTAAAAGGAAAGACCATCTCATTTTTAAAAAAAGTGAAGTCAGAGTTTTCATGTATTGCGATGAATTAGTTCATTATGTTGTAGTCTTTCTCCTCTTAAACCTTCTACAAGTAAGAAACAGTAACAATTTATTTTTTCTTCGAATTACCTACCATAACCAAGGCACATAGGTGAGAATACTCAATCTATTTGTAATCTTACGCTTTAATGAAGATGGAACATTAACAGGGAAATAGATTTGAACGAAAAAGTTTCGTAAAGAGCGCG